AAATGAGATGTGGTGAAAGACCCACACTCAAGGGGCCAAAGAGCTGCATGTGGCTGGCAAGCCGCAGTTTGCCAACCACTGGGTTAGACCATCATCCTGATACACCAAGGTTGTGGCTTGATCTCCAGTTAGAGCACATACAAGAGTTAAGGAATGAATGCATAAATAAGTGGAACAACAAATCCATGTTTCTTTCTCTCTCTCTCCGCCCCCCTTCCCCCTACCTCTTCTTCCTTCCTCTGTCCCTCTAAAAATACATAAATAAATAAATAATTAAATTTTATTGCTCATCATATAAGGCAGTGGTATGGTATTACAGACAGATAACATAACTATGCTAGATCTAACCATAGTTACATCATCACAGAAACAAATATATAATCAAGATCTCAAATCATTAATTAATTAGCCATAACATGTTCAATTAATATTCAAACGAATTAAAAAGTAACATTAAAAAATGATAGCTTGATGACATTGAATACATTTTAAACTAAGTATTTAAAAGAGCATAGTATTCAAAAGTTATTTGGCCCTATCATAAAATGGAGTTGGTTTGGGAACTTGTTTTTTAAGTGAAAGTAGCTATCAGTAGAAGTGAAAAGCCAAATAGATAGCATTTTTTTCTTTCTTCACCTGCTTTCTTAGTCCACTTCTAAGATGTTTGTTGAGCACAAATTATGGGCCAGACACTGTGCATACTCAGCACAACATCTCAGCTCAGCTGGCTGTCACCCTGCAGGAACCACAGGTCAGTATTGCCCTACCTTCTGATTGCACGAGAGAAACCATTTGTTTGAAGCCTGCCAATTCTGAAATGCTGGCATTCAATTCAGAAGCAATTTGGACATTGTGAAGACCACATGAGACACAGTGAGGAGCCTTCTGGGCTCCCATGTTGCTGGTTTGTGGCCTCTGAACTAAGGCATGACCCCTATGAAGACACAGATGATGCCTGGGAGGGTACACATAAGCTGTTATCACCTCAGCATGACTTGTTTTATCTACTTTTCCCAGGATTAGCTGCTCCCAAGACAGTTTCAGCAAGGAACATGTGAGGTGAAGAGTGTAAAGATGGAAGTCCAGCCCTAGCCGGTTTGGTTCAGTGGATTGCACATCAGCTCATGGACTAAAGAGTCACCTGTTCAATTCTGGCCCAGAGCACATAACCTTGGTTTCAAGCTCAATCCCTGGCCAGCCCCTACCGCATGCGGGAGGCAACCAATTGATGTGTCTCTCTCACGTCGATGTTTCTTCCTCTCTATCTCACTCCCTTCCACTCTATATTAAAAAAAATCAAAAAAATCAATACACTCTATTTAAAAAAAATCAATGGAAAAATATCCTCAATTAACAATAACAACAAAAATATAGAAGTTCAGGCTGGACAGCAGGCAGGGACACCCCAAAAATTGCAACTGTAGAATCAAAAGGATGATTTTTAGAAAGAAATAAGGAGCAGCTACTGTATGCAGTGCACTTTGCTGGGCCTTGAAGTACAGAGATTGGTTGGAAATGGAATCTGATGTTAGGCAAGAAGCTTAAAGTTTGCTTAAATGATGGGAGACACGGCAGCATGTAGATGGGTCACACAAGTGTGGAGATCTTCATCTATTATGTAAATGTTTCCTGAAGACCCATGACACGTCTGGAATTTTGGAGAGTCCACAATAGACAGAACCTAAGGATTTACAGTCTAGGGGAGGGCTGGCTGTTTCTTCATTTTACAAATATGTACTTAAATACAATGATAACAAACGGCACGGCAGAACTACAGAGACTATGATGGTGAATATGGACACTTAACTCACTGGGGGAATCAGAAAAGGCTTCTCTGAAAAAGTACAACTAAACCAAGATCTGAAGAACAACATGGAGTCCATGGTGGTGGGGGATGAGCCAGACCAAGAGGGGAGGTCATGTGCCAGGGACAGGGGGAGGTAGCAGAAGGCTCTGGGACAGGTGAGGGCCTAAGTAGTGAGGCAGATTAAGGCCAGCAGAGAAAGTGGAGGACAGAGTTGGCCACTCTGTAGACCCTGTTGTGATGGGGGCTTCCCCCTAGGACCCGCTGGCCACTCTAGGGTTTTAAGCAAGAGGGAAGGACACACAGGCTCTGTGACAGGTACACTGGTGACGTTTGCCAGGTAAGCAGAGATTAGGTAGTGGCTTTTGCAATAACCCACCAAAGTTAGAGGATTTGGCTCACAGGATCTTGGAGGTGACAGTGCAGATGGAAGGAAGTGGTGGCTTTTGGTCTTGATATTGAATTGGATTTGAAAGACGAAAGTGTCCAAGAAGACTCAGGATTCTCACAGTCCATTTACCACAGCAGGGAACCTCAGAGGGTAAACAGGTTTGGGAGGATGGATGAAAGTTTCCATTTTGGAAGAGCTGAGTTCTTGATATGAAATACACAGGAGGACCTGGGTCTGGTTCTCAGGAGAGGGGGCTGGGCTGGGTGTCTCTGGCTTCTGGCTAACATAGAGGCCTGGGGAGGGGTGAACTGGGATGAGCTGTGGAGTGAGAAGAGGCCCAGAGCAGGTCCTCTGTGTGTGTTTTCCACTGCCCTCCTCAGGTGGTACGTAGGCAATGTGAGCTACTGAGCAGTGCACACGCACACAGGTTTCCCAGCCAGTACACTTTATGACTACAACAGAAAGCTAAAAACATCCTCAGTCCTCAGTGTTTTCCTTAAGAGCATCTACCAAATCCAGTTGATGGTCATAACCCCTAACCCAGACACATTGCCCTCCTCTGGTCCAATGATGTTCCCTCCTGATCGAGCTGTCCCCACATACCCCAACAAGTACACTGGGTGATCTTTTCACCCATGTGTATATCTTTCTTCAATGAAATTCTTACAACAAATATTTAAATTTCCCTATCCTCAACTCCTTTGTCTTCTCACAATTGATTAATTTGTCTCCTCGCCAGTAATTGGGTAGATTTCTCTTACCTCTGAATGTAACCAACCTGGAAGATGCTGCTTGTCGCAGCAGAACCCGGGCAGCTAGGTGGCTCAAGGCCAGGTGGACAATCCAGAGAGGCCTATGAGAGCTGGGGTGATGGGGAAGCAGAAAGACATGGGCTCTGGACTCAGGCATCCCAGGGGTAGAATCTGTAGATTCAATGACTTTGTTCATCCGCCTCCATTCTCACCTGGTGGCAGCTGAATAATTAACCAAGACACTGC